CTGACGGTCTCAGATAATTTCTCTAGAACCGCAGTCATTTTCTTGTCCCTAGCCTCATCAACATCCCTCTTTGCCGCAAGCTCGCTTGCTAAGGCTTCCAACTTCTCAGTGCTTTTCAGCTTCTCCTTAGAGTAGCTCATATCCCTAGTCGAATCACTTCCCACAGCCCTGGTAGAAACGAAGTCTATTTCAACTTCATTACTAACCCAAGCCTTAGAAATTGCTTCTGCCAGTTCTATAACTTTCTCGATGGAGACCGAGTCTTCTCTTCGTACTATAGCCTCTGCAGCGGCGATCTTTGGTACTATAGGTGCTCCTGCCGGGACTGGGCCCAACGGTGTGGCAACTACAGGCGGAACCGCTGATGCAACGGCTGGTACAACGGATCCTGCTGGAAATATTCCAGAATCCTTAAACAACACGGAGAAATTTATCATCCCTCTGATCTCCTTCTTAAAGTCGGAATCAAAGGCTACGAGATAATACGTCACTAGTTCCTTATTGGAGACTAAGGCTGGAGCCTTGAGTAGTTTATTTGCTTCATTCAAGAACGCAGCTCCATATCTTTTAACACGCCCTTGCTGGGAGCGGTCTAAGGGTTTGAAGGTTCTGCAGATCTTTCGCAACTTCTCTAGGGACCCAACACTAAAGTCCTCAATCTCTGGATAAAGTGCTTCCACATCTTTAATCCATTGATCTAAGGTCCCAGTTTTGTACGACGCAATATTCTCCAACTGCTCTCGAATGTCATCATCGTTCAAGTAATTCAGGAATACTTTCTTCTGTCCTTCTAAGTCTGTTATATTCGCCTGATCCACAATACTGTGACAGTAGCGAATATAAAGCTTAAGACTCCCAGCGGTTTCTCCATCGAAACTTGGTGCGTTCCTGTCCCAAGGGACCGGTACACGGAAACTAGCAACTCCTGACATCCTGGTTTTAACAACTGGGACGGCACTCGGTACTGGTTGATTTATTTGAACTACTGGAGTTCTAGGTATATTCGTTTGGAACGAAGTGTTTGAAACTGGCGAAGCCGGTCTCGAAACGGAGGGGTTTTGACTGGTAGAAGCTATGGCTGCTTCTTGGTTTCGACTAGTGCTCGCGGTAGCGGCAATAGGGTTCACGTTCTTAGACCTTCGTCCTAAGTTCGCGTCTATACGGCTTTGAGTTTTAGCAGATGCTTCGGCTCTAGCTTTCTCGGGAATTGAAACTCGTCTTCTAGAGGCGGTTTCTAGGGGTGCAACAATTCTGGCTGCAGCGGAGCGGGCAGAAGTTCTACTTCCAGGAATATCCCAATATGTACTTGGTAAATTCCCAGAACCTTCGAACTCTACGGATTCTTCCTCGTTTGACTCGTGGTCTGAGTCTTGCGAAGACGTGGTTTTATCTGTTTATGGACAGATTTGCCTGGATTGCCAAATGTGCGCTCTAAAACAGTTGTCTAAGGTTTCAGAGTTTTTAGGACTCAAGATTCCTTCTTGACTTCTCGTTCGAAAACTAAGCCACGGATGACTCGAAATATCTCAAAGATAATTTCTTTATGCAGAGATTGAAAATCTCTTCTCGAAACCCCCTCGCGGTGGGCTCCAGATGAAACGGTTGCTCAGAAACTAAGCGTGCAAATGAAAAACAAACTAAACCCAACCAACCAAGTTATCGCACTATCGTCCTCTGACTAAACAGATGCACTCTAGCACAACCCCCGGAAACCTGGACTTAATCCACTAAACACCTCTTTACTGCACCAAAGTTTATCTGACGAGATCGGGTCTTATTAGACACAAGTGTAGGTCTAAGGAGCTCCAAGTCAAGATTTAAGGTTTCTGCACAAGAAAGGTCTCGTAAGAGAGGAACTTTCAAGTTGGTTATGGTATAGTCTCGTCCGTAGAATTTGACAGAGTCAAGATTCTTAGGAGTATGAGTCTTGTGGGACTTTAGATTTTAAGCTTCTCAGCTATATGCAAGATACGGTTTTTAAGGCCGGCAAGGTTTTTAAGGCTTCTGCCTGATTCTCTTTATCGGAGCGGATAAACGGTCTTCGGAATGACTTCGGATCTCAAAATTCCCAGTTCAACGGACACGGAGTACTTCGGAGTTACGGAGCGGATTCAACGGAGACGGATACGGTTTAGCACGGAGCTCGACGATCTTAAGAACGGACGATTTATCAAAAGAAACTTTAATTCGGGACACTATCGCAAGACAGCGGAATTCCAGAGTAAAGCCCTCAACCAAATCCTAGCTGTGATGAGGGACAATGGTAGTTGCCTCGTACACGAACTGGGGTCCGATTCAGTGCCGTCCTCTCTGCTCCTCTGGTCTTTTATACTACAGGTATTTACAATTACAAACGATGATCGACTACTTTGGTATACATTGCTTATTAAATAGTCGTCGGATATGCTGCGCGGTTTATGTGATTGGTGGGCCGCGCCCCCTAGGTGTCTGTCTTGAGAGTTGGGGTTGTTACGGTTCCTAGGTTTCTAACCCCTCGATCGGTATAGGACAACTCCTGTTGAACGAGTTGTGTGGTGCATTTCTTAGCCCTGGTCTCCTCCCTTTACGTTCTCTCTCCGTTACTTAGGTAGCGCTGGGCCGTAGCTTTCCAACGGTACCACATACTATAGGTTTCTACGGGATGTACCCCTAAGATTCCGATAATCTTAGACGAACAATCCTAATCTCCTTCGGACATCTCCGCTGGTCTAATGACATGTCACGTGACCCCGGCGCGTCGCGTATTCCAGCTAAGCACGATAAAACTTTGTGGGTTCTAAGGTTCGTAGGTCTGGGGCTTCAACCTTACTTCGCAGAGTGGATGTTCTAAGCCTCCTGGTTTGGTGGATAATAATCCTGATTAACCAGCCACACGGAGATGTGCTGGTTCTTAGATGCGCGCTGTAAATCGCAAAAAGTGCGTGTTTCATAGCTGGTTTTTCTAGCGGCTTATCAACGGTCCAACCCATTTCGTTGAATATTGATATAATATTTGGCGTGTTATTGCGCAGCTGCTCGCAATGCGCGTCCTCACTGGCACCGAGATCAGCTCTTTACTCTTTCCACAGGAACTCCTGAGGGTGACAATTATCATATATAACAGCCTGAGAGGTGGTTCATAAGAAGAAACATTTATATATTATATCAGCCGTTGGGAAGTGACGAGCAAAACAATAGAGACTATCGCGTTTGAAGAAGTCCAGCATGTCAGTACTGATATCGCTGTACACTCTGAACCCGCCCTGCATCGATGGGCCCCGACCTAAACGACACGAGGTGGCCAGATTTGGGCAAGTGGCAGTGTTGGTGAAAAGCCTGCAAACTAGAGCCCTTCCCCTCCGCCCGCAGGCCCACGACCCAATAAGAGCTCTAGCACACCACACATGCCCTTGAACGATGTCGCCGCCGTGAGAGCCCCGTCGGTGCGAATGTTAGCGTCGCCGCCAGCGAGCTCTTGCCCACATCGTCTCTCCCATTTCCTAAACAGAAAAATCGCGCAAGAGACCCTCAGCACCAGGAGGGCGCGGGGGCAACTGATTCCGTCGATGAGATGTGCTCATCCGTATGCGACTAGCGAATCCCTCTTGAAATTTGCTCATTACTTCCCTCCACAGTCAGTGTCGCCCGGGGCCGTTGCACTTGCTCGCCAGGGCTATCCAGCTTTCATCGTGAGTGGCTTCGCACACACCAGATCTCAGGGTGTAGAAGGAGAGACACATGTGCGTCGCCAGCCATCGCACAATGCTCCGTCGTCTGATTAACACTTTGGCCAGCCGCCCAAGCACAGATTCTGGAATTTCACGAAAAGATTGTTCTGCCTCGCCTGAGGACGTTCAGATGCTGTTACCTCTGCTCTTATCTGTGCATGCGCCAAAATCTGTACATTAATGGTGCCTAATTATTCAAACCCACGGTCGTTTCTTGCTGTATGGTTGTCGACGATTTCAACCACCTCCGTCGAGCGTGGGTCTCTTCCCCCACTCAAATTCAACCTTACTTCGAGTTCAACCACACCGTTTGCCGCTTGGCTCTGAGATCTGGGCTTTTACTCGCATCGGGAAGCCGTCCTGGTGCAGTGTCATCGCGAGGTTCCTTCGGCCGAGCAAGATCAACGCGACGCACCGTCGGAATATATCATTCATTGCCCTTTGTGGAAGCAATTTGAATGCGGAAGGCGAGGGAGAGAGAAGTTCCATGATTCAGGACACATCTGGAACTCAAGTGACCCCGCCGATCTATCGAATGAGACTGAATGGTCATGAAGACCGAGCTTTAAGTGAATCTTGCACCCTGCATGAATGGATTCTGACGATGACGAGGCACGAGGCACATGCGCAGCGAAGCCCGAGTTTAGATCCACAGAAAGTGTGATAGTCACGTCAGTGAGCTCGGGAGAGAGAGTTGAGCACGATGGAGAGCTCGGGATAGCACTGGGAAGATTCTGAGCAGGCAGACCATGATTCAGAGGTGAAAGCAGGCTCCGCCGCTCCGAGACAGCCAGATCGCCAATAGGGAAGCTTGAGCTCCACATAGCGTGGCAGGGGAACACAGAAGGTTCAGGAAAGGCTTCCGGTAGCTTGTATTCTTGACGCCAAGTGGGCTGACGAGCCTTCGGTCAGGCGGGACGAGCTGTTCATCGGCGGATGGGCGAGTGAGAGGATGACGTGGCTCGGCCCGGTTTATTCCCGACTGACTTGATGCGATCAATCCGCTCTTCGTCTCAACACTGCTCAACACTGATCATCTTTGGTTCAGGTTCGAACCGAAATCTCGAACCGAACTTTGACATCACTAAGTCACACTTTCGATCGTGTGACAGGACGTGCGGCAGAAAATAATGATAGCTGGGCCACAATATGGACGGTAGGGCGGACACCTTGCAAATGGACCTTGTAGCTTAGTTGGTCAAGCGTCTTCATGTTGTACACCGTCTTCTTAACTTCGTGAGGATTATCGCGGGTTCGAGCCCTGCCAAGGTCTTCTTTTTTTTTCTAGCCCTCGTTGTGATCCGCGTCATCCTCTGCATAAACATCGAGGCCGGCAGATATGTAGATAGCACTTTCGTTCCCACTAGTATGCTTGTATCCTAAAAAATGTTATTCTCTACAGGAAAACATAAGTAAGTAAGTTCGGGACGAGGATGGCGCGTTGGGCGCAGCGGAAGCGGGTGACAGGGGCCACAGTGGTGGGTAGAGAGGTGGTGAAGCGACAGGGCGCGCGGGAGCGGCGGCAACCCCATTTTCTCATTCAGCGCCCGGTTACAACGTCACAACGTCAGTTTACTCATGCCCGAATCAAAGGGATTGAGTGAAATGAAGTGGATGTACTGTGCACTAAGATAGGATCGCACCGTCCTACTAGAGAGTCGAAACTGGGCCCTACGAGGTCCATAATCGTTGTTAGTTCAGTAGCATATGTCCCAAAGTGAGGACATACTTACCTTCGGGGGTCTTTGCGCGACGTCATTGTAGCGGCCGATGTTCAAGACAAGACATATGTATGTGCAGCAATTAAAATTGTTGCCCTGTTGTCTGATCACGTCCCTTCCTTGGGCTGTGTTGACTCAGCCGTCCATAAAAAAATGTAGTCTCATTTCACTGCTCCATTGAGTTCATCGACCAAACTATCAGATCTTTTCCTCACGCGTGAGTCCCTCTACGCTCAAAGCAGTTGGTACTGTTTATTTTTCAATTATTTGTTTCATTGTGACTCCTCGCAAGTTGCGAACAGATAGTAAGCAAACAGTTCAAATCGCTCAAACCGTTTGCTTCACCAGGGTATAAAAGGACAAGGCCGGAGCCATATAGGGTGTCCAAAGAGGAAGATGTTTTGAATAAATGAACTAGTATATATCACCTGACCTTCCCCAGGAATTCCCTGGGACGACACACATCCGTAGCCCCTTGCCACTCCCTTGTCCCAAACCCTGATTTGACCATCCTAGTCCAGACTCCGCTTCGCATTTCGAGGACCTTACCGCAGAAGGTGATCGACCCGTTGCACTCACGATAAGATACATTGATGAGAAGATGTCCACGCTCCTTCACAACCGCACGGCTTGCAGAGCGGCGCGAGCTCAATGCGTGCTCAGACGCAGGCACTCTTGACTAGGACTTTCCGTGCTCGGTCTTACGACCTATCGGGCAGCGTGCAAGGGAGCGATCACCTACGAAGAAACGGGTGGGCGGCGCAGAAAAACTAATTCAAACTTGGATTGACTCACCGAGGTTTATGGCGCGGACAGACAAGGCCCCGAATCCTGAGTGCAACTCAGCGCCTACATCAATTAGTTTGAAAGTGGTGCTGAACGCTATCGATCCGGCGCGATGTAAGTACTGATTGGGTGGGGATTGACTTGACTCATCGCGCTTGTTCTTCTGACTTATTAAATGGCGTGCGAGGGACGCGCTTCTCTACAAAGGAATCGGTTAGCGGCGCCAAAATTTGATGAGAAACTTGATTAGACGCACCGAGGCCGATTCCGCGGCCAGACAACGCGCGGGATCCCGAGCGCAAATCAGCACGCAGCTCAGTTGATTTGACATCGGAGGCTTACCCATGAATTGCTGCGAACCTGGCGCGAGCTCAAACCACACGGGGACACAATCAAGTGGCTAATCAGAGCCCCTGTCTCGCACGCCAAACGGGAATTTCCCCGAGTCCTGAAAAGGGGCTCAATCGCGCGGGAACAGTAACCACGACTTACCTGGCAACTCTCCCTCGTCTGCATCACTTTGAAGCGCACAGTCTACCAGATGCACCTTGCGTCGCGCTCGGGAGGAAACATTGGCGCAGAGCCGCTCCCACACCATGAGATTCAATGAAACGCTTTGAAATGCGCGCGGGCATCGCTTGTACACTAGTCATTGTAAGTCTTACCCTGGATCAGATTCAAATGGATCCAAGGCACGCGGAAGCACTGTTGCAGTCTTATGAGCAAGAAATCATCGGTAGATGAACGGTATGACAGTATTCATCGCTGAATATCACGTACATGTTTAACCGAACTCCGTACAGCGTGCACGTGGTGAGCAAATCGTGCTCTCTGGTTCCGAATTGTGCCTTTTTTCCATTGCGGAGCTTCGGAATCCTTGTCTTTTGAACAATTGCTTGCCTTTGAACTCCAGTTCTTGGTCATATTCCATGTAACTCGAGCGTGCAGAAGTGATGGGGAACGATTTGCCGATAATAGCCGAAGGCCGGACACGATCCGAGGTAAAATTCACGTATCTCGGGTTGTGCCGTAACTCATTGGTCCGAAAGACTTCACTTGATTAGGTGGTGTTGGGTCAGTCAAAGCACATATCTCTACATTTGTCTGTTTGTGAATGAAATTTGAATGACAATCCCACCAACAGACGTTACAAATGTCAAGGACCGATAATGATTTCATCTGTCATCCCTATGGTTGGGAATTTCTTGAATCTTCGAGGCCTTCGTGCAACCCTAGGGGCCGAGATCATGGTAGCCAAGAGATTAGCATAACCTTGCCATGTAGTACAACTCTTGCACCAAGGCCCCTGTGGTTATACTTATGCTTCCTTCTTAATTCTGCCAATTGAGTCTACAGCCGAGTCCGAACCGTGGGACTTTTAGCCGGTCTCGGCGCTACGGCAAGCTCGGCAAACAACGACCCGGCAGCACGAAGTACGGTGTTCGGAGTACGGTTGACGGACCACGTAATATTGCGCGAAAAAAGCTTTTATAGAACGGAGACGTACCCAAGTCACTCAATAATAGTGTTAGCGTCGTGGCCGAGCATTAGCTTACCTGCGGGTCGTGTTTTGTCTGGCGTTCAAAGTGAACCTGTACCCCATCTGGAAAAAACTTATGGTCGATAGAGAGATATGTAGGCTTGATAGCACTTGTAGCGCTATCGCTTGACCCCTGTTATTTAGACCTATGTAGCTCCATGCCAAAACTACATAGGACCCCATAGTGGCTGTAGTAGACTCATTTTCCTGTAGCTCTGTAGTCCAAGAGTCTACATATCCATCTATAGTCATACAAAGCTGCTGTGGTGCTACTTATCTGCAACAAAGAGACAATAATCAATTGTATTGATGAATGCTACGCCATCGAACAGTAACTATCCACCAGCAGCGGTCCCCAGCTCGGATTACCTCATGGCATTCGGGAATCTAGCGGCGCTGGAGACAATCACCGGAGGCTGCGCATTTGAGGGCAAAAAAACTGAAACCACGTCAGGTACATCCATGTAAAGAGAAAACGGCACACACTTTTGGTATCAATCCAGCTCTAGGGATGTTGTGATCGAGGCTTGAGCGCAGGGACCAAGAGAGCTGATGCTGTGTCAACAGGGAACCCTACTAAGCCCACAACGCACCTTGCGCCAGTCGCCCGCGTACCCTGCCCATCTCGGCCCGGACGTCTTCCGGCGCTGCCCAAGGACGTGCAATCCACCAAGCTAGTCATCGTACTGGGAACAGAGCATTTGAAAGAAAGTTGGATGGCTGGAACTTGGATTGCAAAGTGTTTGAGGGTAGCTTGACGTGTTCCCATGAGCGGGCTTGATGACATTTGGAGACGAAAAGGTGCGGCACTCAGGCTCCGGAAGCCCTCCGAAGACATGACTTGGCTTGAGGGCTTGATCCAGGAGCTTGAAGGAGACTCTTCGACGACACGCAGTGCGAGAGGAGCAACAAGATGGGGGGAAAAGACAAGCAGCGCTCGTCACACTTGGCAACGCTTGACAGATCATCAACCAAGCACGCCATTCCACGTGACTGATCGGACCTTGAAACGACTTCCGACTCTTCGCAAAATTCAGAATTCCGGCTTTACCCCGGGCCGCCGCGGCTACAATCCGCAAGCGGCTTCGCTTTAGCGGCTACTTAATAGCCCTGGCTAGCCTTTCTATAGCCCTTCAAAGCCACTGCGTACCCAAGTTTAAGCAGGCTTAGATACTCCCCACTAGCATCAGGCAAGACTCTTAATAGTATGTACAGCAAATCAATGGTTTCGAAACTTCTCAAAACTTGAACATTGATTTACTTCAAGTTGAAAAAGAGCAAAGTTGAAAGCTCGAAATTTTATTGGGTTTCATAGCAGAACATAGGCGTCAATTCAATTCAATTCAAGTTTCGATTAGAGTGCGCGCGGGCCCCTTGGGGCCCATGTGGCACTATACGTAGGTACATTTGTGTAAGCTAGCGGTCGCAGAGGGACTCGGTGGGTGGTGGCTAGGTGTGGTCAGAGGCACGGGGAGAGGCTGTGAGGGCGGGGAGAGTAGGTAGGCTTGGCGGGATGTCTTAGCTAAGTATCATATGCGTAACATGGAAAAATAAGAAAAGGAAAAGGGAGAAAGGAAAAGAGGGAGACAGCGGCCCGGGGTGGCTCAGAGCGCGTAGCGCGGGAGGCGGCCCGTGTCGCGGACGAAGTCGAGGACCGCTTTGGGGTCGGACTTCGCGGAGAGTAAACGGCGGAGGGAGAGACGCGCCGTGCCGAGGCGGGCGATGAGTGCGAGGCGTTCGCGGCGAAAGAGGGGGCAGGCGAGGAGGAAGTGGGGGACCGTCTCCGGGACAAAGCAGAGGGGGCAGTCAGGGGAGGGGGCAAGGTGGAAGCGGTACAGGAAGGCGTTGAGCCCAATGTGGGATGTCCTGAGCTGCGTCCAGACACTGCACTGAGGCCGGCTTAGTCCCTCGTACACCCGCGCAATCGTGCCTGACGGTTTGGAGGCGTCGAAGAGGGCGAGACGGCGGGCGCGCGGCGAGTCACTCCACTCTGTGAGCCAGTGTGCCTTGAAGGCTTTCGTCCCCGCTGCCATCGCAGCCGCTCTGCTTGTGGGGAGGGGGGAGTTGAAGAGAGGGATATGGAACACGAGGGGCGAGGAGGCACCCTGGGCCGCCTCCTTCGCGCGCGCGTCCACTGCCTCATTCCCCTCAATCCCGACATGGGCCGGGACCCAGTGTATCCGCACCTTGAGGGTCGGGCGGGCACGGAGGAGGCGGCGGAGGAGG